CTGCTCCCCGGGTCTTATGGGCTTTTCCAGAAGGAGTAATCCTGCCAGCTCCCTACTATGGGAACAGGATCACTGTGCACCGCAATGGTACATTGGACATCAGAGAGGTGAGGCAGACAGACGCGGTGCAGCTCATATGCATCGGCCGGAACGAAGGAGGAGAAGCGAGACTGATTGTGCAGCTCCTCATCACAGACCACTTGGAGAAACCCTCCTTCCGAGACCCTGTCAATGAAAGGATCACTGCTATTGCTGGGCACAGCATCAACCTGAACTGCTCAGTCCAGGGGAACCCCAAGCCCAGCACAAGCTGGATCCTTCCCAATGGCACTGAAGTGCTGAGTGGCAGCCATCTGCACAGATTTTACCATAAGAAGGATGGGATCTTGCACATCAGCAGCCTCTCCTCTGGGGATGCTGGGACTTACCGCTGTACAGCCAGAAACCCAGGAGGTTATGTGGAACGGGTAGTCTTCCTGAAAGTGGGGCTCAGGCCAGAAATCAGCAACCAGTACAACAACCTGGTGAGCATCATCAATGGAGAAACTCTGCAGCTCCATTGCGTCACCCAGCCAAACCAGCGGGTGCAGATCTCCTGGACACTGCCCAACGGGATGGTTCTGGATGCTCCTCAAGCTGTGGGTCGCTTCTCCCTGCTGGAGAACGGCTCACTGACAGTGCGCGAGGCTTCTGTATTTGACAGGGGCACTTACCTGTGCAAGGCATCCACAGAGTATGGCACTTCTGTTATGAACGTGCCTGTCATCGTGATAGCCTATCCCCCTCGGATCACCAGTGAGCCAGCACCTGTCATTTATGCCAGGCCTGGAAATTCAGTAAAACTGAACTGCATGGCCATTGGGATTCCTAAAGCAGAAATAACATGGGAGCTTCCAGACAAATCACATCTGACAACTGGAGCTCAATCCCGTCTGTATGGAAACAAATTCCTGCACCCTCAGGGGTCATTAGTCATCCAGCAGCCTTCTCAAAGGGATGCAGGCTTCTATAAATGCACAGCTAAAAATATATTAGGCAGTGATTCGAAAACAACCTACATACACATATTTTAACACTAAACAAAATGCCTTTGACTGGATACTAGCATTAAAGTCACTGCCAAGCAAGTGCAACAAGGAAAGGACAGTTTGCAACAAAGCCAGGCAGGCTGAGGGCAGTAAAAAAAAACAAAAAACAAAAAACAAAACGGAATGAATCCTATTTTTATGCAAAGTGCATTACTTTTGTTCTCAGTATGGTAGTAAGTCCCTGCAATAAAAGGAGGCAGTAGACATACTGAAACTGAGGAGACTAACGCGTTGGAAAAGGTCTTTAAATTGTTAAGTGAGTATAGTGTGGTTTTTCATGCTATCCAATAGCATCTGAAACCTGAAGTGCTCTATTCCTGTCAGTAGTCCAAAGCTATTCCTTGTTCTAACAAGCACCTTAAAAGTACCAAAGAAGTATTAACTGTTAATGAATGAGCTGCAGTGATAGAAGTGCTTTAGTAAAACATAATTTTCTTTATACCCTGCAGCACTTTTACATAATCTAGCCTTATAGAATATGATTACTAACCTTTCTGTTCATTCTTCTATCAGCTCTTCAAAATCAAAGACTAACTTAGCAAATAAGAGTGATCTATTTTAATAGAGATACATGCAAACATTAGTTACCTTAACATATGAACAAACCTTTTCCAGCTACTAAGGATGCTACAGTAAAATAATTCATTATATATTTTATATATATTTTTAAATCAGACTATGAGACTAGAAAGAGTAACAATGAACTTGGTCTCATTTTATAAATTATTGGTCTTTACAAGACTCTGATACATTACAGTTTTTATAATATTAAGGTCAATATACTGTACATTTTATAATAAAAAAATATTTTCCAAAAATGTATTCACTGTGGTTTTAATTTTATTTTGACAAAAAAAGAAACTCCAAACTGTAAGAGTATAAAGTTAAATCAAAACCCGGGAGTAATTTAGCTTTATACATATCTTTCTAAACGTGGTTTCTTAATAAAACAAAACACTTCTGTATATTTCAGGATACGTTTAGAATTTCAATACTACTTCTGCAATCAAGGAAGTTTTTTTGACAGTGTACATAATTTTAATAAGAGTTACCACTTATGCTGTAGAAATAATTATTACAAGATGCTGAATATGCCCATGTTTCAACAAATTACTCCAGTCAGAATTTTGCAAACCTTTAAAATACATGGAAATCTATTTAGATATTTATTTTCTGTATTGAAGGAAACATGGCAGAAAGTAATGTAAAGTGTGACTCTAATATTTGCATGCTGTAAAAACTGTAAACAAAGATTTCCTTATTGCACAAATTTATCCAGTTTACAAAAACTAAGCTGTTGTAAAATTTTTGTGCATCATCATGGTAAATGGAACTGAGCACTTGAAGAAAGAAGTGTTAGAACAAGGATGTTGAATTAAATGACAACTACAAGGACACTGCTGAAAATACAAGGGGCATAATTTATTTGATAGAATACTTTATAGAACTTACTTTTTTTGGAAAATCAGTGCAAGCCAAAACGTTGTGGTTTGTACACAAGCATTTATTAAAGTTGCAGTTATGTTACTAGCTTAATTAAATAGCTACTTAATTACATCTTAGTTTCTCTTTTATGGCTTAAACCCCTGGGCCCTAAATCAGCAAATTGGTGCTCCAGGTGAAGCAACTGCCTTAATAACTGGGGGGGTTGTAGCTGCTTGTGAGAGTATTTAAAGAAGAAAGGAACAAGTATTCAAGATTTTTAACAACATTGCTGATGTGGTCTTTTCTAATCTGGCTGTTTTCCTTGAACATGTCACACATTAGATATATCGTTAGTTCCTTTACTTAATTTTAGCACTTTTTTATTTTATAGTAGTTCTTGGCAAATGGTAATGCAATTTTTAATAAAGAGTCTGAAGTCAGCATTTTAGCACTGGAGTCAAGCACTTTTAATCATTTGTCTGTCCAGCCTTCACTTAACACTTACGTGGATTTAAAGATATTCTTGGATGCTGAATGACTTATATACATATTCCCATTAAGCAGAATTTGTTTTTATGTTAAGGGATGAAAATAGAATCCAAAATCAAACATTTGATCTGTTGGCATCAAACACAGCATCTGATAGAGTTTTATTCATCAATTCAGAATTTCCACTGCTGCCAGTGGTAGTTTTGGAGGCAAAAGACATGAAGGATTTGGCTCAAGATCTTTTCTTAATTCAAGTCAAGACTTGCATACTTGCAAAATTCCCTCAAAATTGGACTTAACGTTTTTAAATGGATTATAATTTCCATAACGTTTGCCTTTATCCCTTTTATGGAACCATACTCCCAATGAGAGGCCTATAAAAGAGAATTTCCTTCCAAAATAAATGTAACTACAGCTTAAAAATGTCATATGAACGCTTTTACACTCAAGCGGTGTTTGGCTTTATTGCCTGTCATCTTATTTCTCTGTTGAAGTACCAGTTGTCCAAGACATCCATCTTGACTTCCTTTTGTAGAAGCTAAAGGGGAATCCAAATCTGTTCCAGGACTTACATTCTTAAGCCTGAATCTACATGTCACTCCATGTGTTGAACTGTCCATCAGATGAAGACAGTCTTCGGATGCTGAATTTAAATCCTAACTTCTTCCTTCATTTCCATGTCATTATCTGCAAGTTGCAACAAGTAACTCAATGACAAATTCACATTACTTCAAGGACACAACACTTCATTATTTATTTGGGGTTTCTTCAGAAGTCTTTCAGACCAAGCAGGAGCCATGTGTTCAAAGGCAGTGAAGCTTGTTCCTTCTATGATTTTGAGAGATGCTGGGAAATGCAGTGCTTGCCCTTGGTTTGAGAAGGTTTCACAATTTTTTTACTTAATCAATCAAAGCATGTTCTGGATAGTTTCAATGGAAATGAAAACTTGCCATTTTTTGCTTTTTGCATTGGAAATGGAGAAAAAAGGTTGGTTAAATGTGGATTTTTGGAGAAGTAGAGTAAAAAATATCTCATTACGACTGTATAGATTGCAAATGAATGGAGTTGTGTATTGCTAATGAGTGGAGTTGTATATCCATTTCTTTCTTTGGCCTTCACAAAAAGAGGTTCACTGTGACTATATATCCCTAATACAACTAACAACAAAAATGGAGGTAGAAATATAGGCCAGAAAAGCAAAAAAATATGGAATTAACTAGGCTATTCATGTCATCAAGATCTGATAAAATTCCTGAAACACTAGCCAGTTCACCTACACATTTTAGTGATTATCTTCAAACACCATGAAGGCCAATCGAGGTACAAGAAGACTGAAAAAAATGCTAAAGCTGTGTTTGAGGAAACATGAAACAGCCAAACCCTAGTATTAAGGGTACTTTGTTTAATTCACTACTGAACAATCCATCTAGGAGCATCTGTAAAATAACACAGTGATAAAAAGCAGCTGCTCTGGAAGCTTCTGCAACAAATCATGGAATAGTGAACAAGTTACCTTCTCACAGAAATGATTAGTTCAGAGTATGAAAAGAGGGAATTGGTCTGATGTACTTTAGCAGAATTTTTACAGTCACACAGGATGTTCTTATATCCAAACTCAAGTGTGATTTATCTGTTGGAAAATGGGAGAACTGATGTTTTCAAAACATTTAAATAGAAGTAATGAGCTGGTCTGGTACCTTTCCATATTTTCATTAATGGCTTTCATGTATAGAGAAGACACTTTGAAAATACGTGACTAGTATGAAACTGAAAGAGATTGATGCACACAGGACCTCATAATTCAGAGTAATCTTTCTAGATTGGTGAAATTATTTGAAATTTAAAAAAAAATAAATATTTAAAAATCAGTAAATACAAATACAAGAATTATATTCAAAAGGAAGACTTTGAATACACATACAGCAACCAGTTAGTGAAGAAGGAGTTGTACAAGTTAACAACAGGATGCCCTTTCAAAGAAAACCCTGGCACTTTGAAATCTGTTCATGAGGGCTGTGTGAAGCAACATAATGCAGATCATGGAGATAATGACTCTTTTTCATCTAGCCCCAAATACAAGGAAATTGGAAAGAATCCAAGAAAATGTTTTAGGAAGGATAAATTATAAGGATAAGTTGAAATGACATGAGTTTGTTCTGTCTAAGAAAAAAGCTGTCCGAGTATTAAATACAACAGTTAATCAAATGTCTATCAAGTCCTTGAGGAGCTAGTGGGCAGTTGTTTTTCAGGTTCATTGAGATTAGCATGAGATGTAACTGTTAACTTGCTCTAAGCAAACTGTAGTCAAGATACTAAGAAAAACTTTGTAACTGTAAGAACATTTGAACAATGTATTCCTCTTTGGAGGCAGTTAGAAACAGTTTAGTTTGGTAGCTATCACAGGTAGTCACAATCCTTGACCAAGAAACAGAAATCTTGGAGTTCCTTCAACATCTACATTGCTATCTTTCCTATATTTTCCTAGAACTATGGAGCATACTAATTCTATACAACTGTAAAGGAAGGATTTATTAGCTAATTTTAATCTGTGCTTGTGATCTTATATATGCAATCTTCATTGTAATGTATGAGAGGTTCTTAACTGTTTGGTACATGACATATATGGACACCTGACAAATATGGGCACATGACAAATATATCCACTGTGACCACATCTTTATGGTGGAAATCTGATGGAGGGTTTTCCAGAAGCAGCTGTGTCACAGAATCTCTTTTATCATTCAAAGAGTTCATTTACAAAGATCTCTCACACCAGACCATTCACAGAGTTGAACAGAGGAGAAAGAAGTGCAATGGCTTGAGGTGTTTATTTTACTCAACTACTCTTTCAGTGTAGCTGGCTAGCATGAAAAGATCCTAAAAGCTGTACAAGATTATGTATACCTTGTGCTCTCATTCCCTCTCTTTTATTGTTTGCATTTTAAATGATGAAATGCAGTGCAAATCCTCTTAGAGAACCATTAACACTTCATTAATCATTTCTCAGACATGTTTCCTTAAAAAGATAAATAGGACAGAAGCCATTGCACACAGTGGAGAAACAAATGAGGTAGATCTTTGAGGTTTTATCATCTTGTGATGGAAATAGTGGCTTGTTAGAGCTGTTGAAGTTGAAGATGGATTTGTGTGCCGTGAAGAATCTTGTCATTTTTTCAGCTATTCCTGTTGCCAAACAAAAGGTGATGTTTTTCCTTGCAAATATGTTCTTGCTGGTTCAGTCCAGTAGCACCAGCAATGAACAGCTCTTTAGCATAAACATTAGTAAATTTGGTAAATATCTGGGTTGGAATCTTACTTGCCATAAATTGGCTGAGCCTGGCTGAAGAGCCACCAAAAATATTCACTGACTGTGAGCATCGTGACCTCTTCCTTTGGAAGGAAGTTGAATTTCATAGGTGGTGTAATGATGAAAGAAAGAGTGCAGTCAAGAGAGAGAGTGTGACAGTAATTCAGAACATTCCTATTTTTCATCAGTCTTTTGCACATGGGAAGCTCTGACACTCTACTTACTCTTTCTTTTGAATAAGCAAACTTTTCATTGCCTGGAAGCTAGGCCTCTCATGTTTCTTTCCTTCCCAGAGGCAAGAACCACTGTTACTCTTCATATGGTGAGAGTGATGCCTCTGACACCTGAGGTAACGTGACATGGAAGATATTATGACATTGGACTGCAGATGCTATGACACTGGACTGCAGCAGTGTACCACCTACTAAGCACTTCTTTGAATGTGGGGCCTCCAGAAAGGGAAGTGCATGTTGGCAGCAGTACCGCACTGTGGCTTCTCCTCTACTCCATGACCCCATTCATCAAGCACAGCTGGCCATAGTATCAAAGAATTCACACACTGGCCACGTCTGATGTGCCAGGTCAC